TGCCTGCCAACATGGTCACCCCAAACTGCCCCCCGCTGCTGACCTGGTCGCCCCCAACTGCCTCCCCTGCCTGCCTGGTCGCCCCACGCAGCCTGCTTGTTCAGTCATTTGATCTTCCCTCATTAACCCCCCTGCTGGCCTGGTCATAGGCAGTCATCTTTGTGAGGGCGTGAGGGTCAATTTGTGTATTACCTCTTTATTATGTAGGATATGGGTGTATTAGGATTTCAGCCTTGGGGATGTCCCTGTTGGTCCATTGGCTTACTTGGCAGGTGAATCTTAGTAGCCCATTCCTCTGATTACACACACACATATATACATATTATATATACACATATATACATATATATATATATTTATTTTAAAATTTACAAAGAAAAATTATATGGTATTTTCATTAGTAAAACACAGGCCAAAAAATGTAGAAAAATAAGATTTTTCACAATGCATTAAAATTTGGTGATGATATATTATTTAAAGTAACCAGCTCACTACTCCTCTCATTTAGTAAAGTCTAACAATGCACTTACTTATCATGTACTATGAAAATTATAGATACACTGAAGCTCCAGCTACTTAAACTAACTTGCGTAGAGCTCAGCATTTGTCTCAGAACTCTCCCACAATTCATTCTTACTATAGTCTTGTAATGCCATTATGTATGTATTTTAAAATATTTTCCCCCCCCTCTGGCTCTATTTTTGTTCACCAGTTTATGTTGTTCATTAGATTCCACAAATGAGTGAGATCATGTGATATTTATCTTTCTCCGACTGGCTTATTTCGCTTAGCATAATGCTCTCCAGGTCCATCCATGCTGTTGCAAATGGTAAGAGTTCCTTCTTTTTCACAGTAGCATAGTATTCCATTGTGTAGATGTACCACAATTTTTTAATCCACTCATCTGCTGATGGGCACTTAGGCTGTTTCCAGATCTTAGCTATTGTAAATTGTGCTGCTATGAACATAGGGGTGCATATATCCTTTCTGACTGCTGTTTCTTATTTATTGGGGTATATTCCTAGAAGTGGGAATATTGGGTCAAATGGGAGTTGCATTTTTAATTTTTTGAGGAAACGCCATACTGTTTCCACAGTGGCTGCACCAGTCTGCATTCCCACCAGCAGTGCACGAGGGTTCCTTTTTCTCCACATCCTCGCCAGCACTTGTCATTTGTTGATAATAATTCTGACAGGTGTGAGATGGTACCTCATTGTTGTTTTGATTTCATCTCTTGGATGATTAGTGACTTTGAGCATGTTTTCATATATCTCTTGGCCTTCTTTATGTCCTCTTTTGTAAAGTGTCTAGGTCCTTTGCCCATTTTTTGATTGGATTGTTTGTCTTCCTTTTTTTAAGTTGTATGGGTTCCTTGTAAATTTTGGAGATTAAAACCTTATCGGGGATAACATTGGCAAATATATTCTCCAATGCATGGGCTTTCTTGTTTTGTTGGTTTCTTTTGCTGTGCAGAAGCTTTTTATTTTGATGTAGTTCCATTTGTTTATTTTCTCTTTAGTTTCCAATACCTTAGGACAGTGGTTCTCAACCTGTGCGTCGAGACCCCTTTAGGGGTCGAACAACCCTTCACAGGGGTGGCCTAAGACCATCGGAAAACACATATATAATTACATATTGTTTTTGTGATTAATCACTATGCTTTAATTATGTTCAATTTGTAACAATGAAAATACATCCTGCACATCAGATATTTACATTAAGATTCATAACAGTAGCAAAATTACAGTTATGAAGTAGCAACGAAAATAATTTTATGGTTGGGGGTCACCACAACATGAGGAACTGTATTAAAGGGTCGTGGCATTAGGAAGGTTGAGAACCACTGCCTTAGGAGATATTGCTTTGACATATGTCTAATATTGTGCTGCCTATGGATTCTTGTAAGATTTTTATGTTTTCCCGTCTTATGTTTAAGTCCTTTATCCATTTTGAGTTTATTTTTATGTATGGTGTAAGTTGGTAATCTAGTTTCATTTTTCTTTTGCATATATATGTCCAATTTTCCCAACATCATTTATTGAAGAGACTTGTCTTGACTCCATTCTATGTTCTTGCCTCCTTTGTCAAATATTGAACATAATGGCTTGTGTCGATTTCTGGGTTCTCTGTTCTGTTTCATTGGTCTATATGTCTGTTTTTGTGCCAGTACAAGGCAGTTTTGAGAAGAGTGGCTTTGTAGTAAAGCTCAATATCTGGCATTGTGATCCCTCCAACTTTGTTCTTCTTTCTCAGGATTGCTGCAGCTATTTGGGGTCTTTTTTTATTCCATATGAATTTTAGGAGAGTTTGTTCTAGGTCTGTGAAATATTCCATTGATATATTAACAGGGATTGCACTGAATCTATAGATTGCTTTGGGTAGTATGGACATTTTAATGATGTTGATTCTACCAATCAATGAACATGGTATATTCTTCCATTTGTTTATGCCTTCTTTTATCTCCTTTTTCAATGTCCTGTAGTTTTCTGAATACAGGTCTTTTACCTCCTTAGTTAAGTTTATTCCTAGGTATCCAAACTTTTTTGGTGCAATGGGATTTTTTTTTTTTAAAGTTTCTTTCTGTTTGTTCATTATTGGTGTATAAAAAAGCCATAGGTTTCTAGATGTTAATTTTATATCCTCCTACATTGCTAAATTCATTTATTAAGTCTAGTAGTTTTTTGATGGAGTCCATGTACAATATCATGTCAATATCATGTACAGTTTCTATGTACAATATCATGTCATCTGTGAATAATGAGAGTTTTACTTCTTTTCCAAATTGGATGCCTTTTATTTCTTCTTCTTGTCTAATCACTATGGCTAGCATTTCCAGTACTATGTTGAACAGGAGTGGTGAAAGTGGGCATCCCTGTCTTGTTCCTGTTCTTAGGGGAAATGGTTTGTTTTTTTCCCATTGAGTATGATGTTGGCTGTAGGTTTGTCATACATGGCCTTTATCATGTTGAGTTATGCTCCCTCTATTCCAACTTTGCTGAGAGTTATCAAAAAATGGGTGTTGGATCTTGTCGAACACTTTTTCTGCGTCTATTGATATAATCATGTGATTTTTGTCTTCCAATCTATGTGATGTATCACGTCTTTTGATTTGTGAATATTGTACCAGCCTTGCATCACTAGAATAAATCCCACTTGGTCATGGGTGTGATCTTTTTAATATATTGCTGGATGCAATTTGCTAATATTTTGTTGAGGATTTTAGCATCCATGTTTATCAGGGATATTGGCCTGTAATTCTCTTTCTTTGTAGTGTCTTTATCTGGTTTTCTAATATTTTGTTGAGGATTTTAGCATCCATGTTTATCAGGGATATTATTGGCCTGTTCTCTTTCTTTGTAGTGTCTTTATCTGGTTTTGGAATTAGGATAATACTGGGCTCATAAAAAGAGTTTGGAAGTGTTCCTTCCTCTTGGGTTTTCTGAAATAGTTTGAGAAGTATAGGTGTTTTTCTTTGAATGTTTGGAAAAATTCCCCTGTGAAGCCATCTGAACCTGAGCTTTTGATTTTTGAGTTTTTATTATTACTGCTTCTATTTCATTGGTTATTGGCCTATTCAGGTTTTTTGATTCTTCCTGATTCAGTTTTGAAAGATTGTATTTTTCTAGGAATTTCATCCACATTGTCCAGCTTGTTCACAGTATTTCTGTGGTGTCCGTGGTTACTTCTCGACTTTCATTTCTGATTTACTTGGATCCTCCCTCTGTTTCTTGATGAGTCTGGCTAATGGTTTATCAATTTTGTTTATCCTTTCAAAGAACTAGCTCTTGGTCTCATTGACTTTTTTTTTTTAGTCTCTATGTTATTTCTGCTCTAATCTTTATTATTTCCTTCCTTTACTTATCCTGGGCTTTTCTTGTTGTTCTCTTTCTAGTTCTTTAAGTTGTAGGGTTAAATAGTTTATTGATGATTTTCTTTCTTTCTCTTCTCTTTTCTTTTTTGAGGTATGCCTGTAGTGCTATGAACTTCCCTCTCAGGACTGCCTTTGCTGTGTCCCAGAGATTTTGGGTTGTTGTGTGTTCATTTTCATTTGTTTCCAGGAAGTTTTTTTTTTTTATTTCTCTCTTGATCTTGCTGATAACCCATTCATTGTTTAATAATGTGCTATTTGGCCTCCATGTGTTTGAATGTTTTTGGGTGTTTTTACTCTAGTTGATTTCTCATTTCATTCCACTGTGATCTGAGAAGATGCTTGATATGATTTCAATCTTCTTAAACTTGTAAAGACTTGTTTTGTGTCCTAACATGTGTTATATCTTTGTGAATGATCCAAGTGCACTTGAAAAGAATGTATATTTTGCTGCATTGGGATGAAATGTTCTATAAATGTCTATTAAATCCATCTGATCCAGTGTGTCCTTTAGAGTCTCTGATTCCTTGTTAAGTTTTTGTCTGGAAGATCTGTCAAGTGAAGTCAGAGGGTTGTTAAAGTCCCCTACTATGACTGTATTGTTGTTGATCTCTCCATTAAAACCCTCTACAAATTTTTTTTATACATTTAGGTGCACCTATATTGGGTGCATTATATGTTTACCCAGGTTATATCCTCTTGTTGGATCGATCCTTTTAGTATTATATAGTTGTCTATATAATACTTTGTTATCTCTTATGATGGCCTTCAATTTAAAGTCTATCTTGTCAGATATGAGTATTGCTACTCCACCTTTTTTTTTCCGTTTGCATGGAAAAATTTTTTCCATCCCTTCACTTTCATCATGTGTTTCTTTCTTTCTTTTTTTTTTTTAATAACATCTGGGAATTTATTCAATTTTTAGGGATCCAATATTATAAAAGTTCCTGTAATGTCATTAAAAAATGAACATATACCTATCAAGAAATGTAGTGAAAATTGTTTAATCATTTTAGAGCAGTCAAAATACAACATTAATATTGGTGTCTTGGTGTCTAAAAGCAATCATTTTGCCATATCCATCTTAATCTTTCTTAATCTTTTATATCATTCATTTTAAGTTGATGGTTAATTCAAAAACTGAGTTTTAATCAAAGTTGTTTTCAAACATTGTCATAATGTCACACTGAAGAGTCATATCAATGGTATCAGCCATTGCTTCTCTCCTCCTCCGCTCTTGCTCTAAATTATGGTCTTTGAGAAGCCCAAGTCTACTGTTTTCTTGAACTTCCAATGACTGCTGATGTTCTTTTTGCTGGTCTCCAAGGCACTTGTTTGGCATCTTATTTGAAAAGGATTCTAGAGTGGAGCCAGGGTGCCTTTGATTTTCTTGAAGTACTTTGGGTTCCGTTGTATTCTTTTCCAGATGTTTCCGTATTAGTTCCTGTGTTCGAGCTTTTACTTCCTTCTCTATTGCTGCTTTTCTAAACTGGTTGAAGAGCTCATCTGAGGATTTCCATACACCTGAAGTTTTAACTGGTTTGCCTAAACTTTTCCAAGAGTCAGCATTCTTGATTTTTATATCCTTCTGCACAGAAACTTGACATTCAGACTCGACCACCATTGTGTCATCCCCAGACTGATGCATCACAGTTAGGCCATTCAAGTGATTTTCAGAACCACCTGAGAAAGGCAGGATTTGTAAAGGTGAAATGTTTTTCGACACTCGGTTTATGTTCTAATTCTTGATGATTAATTGCTAACTGGTGGTGATCTGGTGCGGTTCCACTTGAATGTGTAGTCTGATGAAAAAGGGCAATAGTGCTAGAGGTTGTATCTCGCATAGTAGACTGTATCTTTACTTTCTCTTTAGAAGAAGTTCCATTCTGTTTCACCTCAGTAAATTTAGGTAACATTTCTGATTCGGAATCACTGCTGTCTGAAGTAACTGAATCACTGCTACTACTTTCAGACTCTGACGAACTGCTGCTGCTGTCTCTCAACCGGGAACCAATTCCAACAACAGCTGTGGATGATGGCGTTTTCTCAGATTTTGTTTGGCATTTTCTGGAATTTAACTGATTATTGACATCTACTAATTGCTTTTCCAGCTCCTGTTTTTTCTGTGCATGAAGTTCTTCATTTGGCTTCATTATTTTCTTACCACGAGGTTTTAATGGTCTTTTTCTTAGACATGCAGCAACATATTTTTCTAGCTCTCAGTGTTGTTGTTTTCAGTGTTTTAAAGTCTATTTCTATCTCCTCATGGTTGGAATTTCTCAGTGAAGGTTCTCTTGACTGTATTATATGAACGACTTTTCCAAGTTTATCTCCAGGGAGTTTGTTTATATCCAAACTTAACCGCCTTTTCTCATCATGGCTCATAGGTTCAGCATTATCTTCATCCTCAGACTTCAGAGCCAACACTGATTGTTCCCTCTTCTTTTGATCATTGCTCTTAGATTTCTCCTTTAATTTCATTTGCTTAAACTTCTTTCTTGGATTTTCATCTGTGTTATTAACCTTTCTTTTTTTCTTTTCCTGTTTAGATTTGTCATTTTTTTTTTTTTTTTTTTTTTTTTTTTTTTTAGCTTATGGAGTAGTACTTGGGATAGAACCTGCAGTTGCTGATGAACAGCTTTAAGCTGCTTCTGAAGCCTTGCAATACACTGAACTTGGTCATCTTCAGAATCACCAGAAGAATTATCTTCAGAGGAAGTTTCAGTACTGCTTTCTCTACCAAGGGATTTTGTGGTATCTGTTTTGATATTATATACAGGCTTACTTTCAACAGGTTCATCTGGGATCTTTGCAAAATGCATTTCAAAAACATCCTATAATGGAAAATCAGACTGTTAAGGTTTTATGTATTTTTTATTTAATGCAGCACTGTCCCTTTAACAAAAGCTACATTTTGGTGTCATATTTTTATAACAGTTCTGGTTTTCCTTGTGGTCATCATTTTGTAATATATACATTTATCAGGTCATTATGTGTAAAACTTAAAACATATACAGTGTTACATGCCAATTATATCTCTATAAAACTAGATAACAATTACCAGAAGAAGAAATATAAGACTCATGCTTACCCTCCAGCCAACCATAGCAACATTTCTCACTTTTTTCACGTAACGCAGACCAAGTAATATTGAGAATCTTCTTTCACAGATCTCCTGCCCTGTGGTTGGCAGTCTACTACCTCCCAATAGTTCAGCCTCAAAAGTCCTTAGGTCTTTCCTTTAGTGGGACATGGGCTCCAGTCAACCCTATCTGAGATATCTACTGTCCCCGTTTCACTAATATTTTCCCCAATATCCTCTATATGGTGGGCACTTTGTTAAAAGATTTGCTACTAAAGGATGCTATACCTCAAGAAACAAACCATCCCACCAATTTAAAAATTGTATTTTAGTACTTGGGTGTTATTCTTTAGCACAGGTAACAACTTACCTGGAGCATTCTTGCCATTGTCACTACTTCATGATCTGGAGGATTGTATCTGTAGCAATTCATGAACATTAATCTAACATCTGCAGCAAATTCATATGCATCCTTATATTCTTGGTTGTCCATTTTTCTCTAAATAAATGAAAAATTACAGGATTCACAAACATAGCCAATAATTATTTGACCACCTATATTAAGTGTTTAGAGATAAGAAAGGAGGGCATTCCAAGGCTTATTGTATAAATAACAACTCGAGAACATTGTTCTGAAGTCTTCTATGCATTCTGAAGCCTTCACATAATACTTATTTTCCAAGCGCTTCTTAATTGTACTTAAACCCATTGGGTTTTTGATAATGGTGTAATAATCAGGCAACTCTAGTTTCATGGCATCCACAGGCTGCTGAAAAGGCCAGGAAAAGCTATGCTTTCATAAAGCCTTCAAGATAACTTTTTGTAGATACTGCAGTTGATGTGTCAATCTCCCATTTTTCTTAGTATTTATATACTCTGGTGGTGGAGGGTTAATAATAGCTATTTCTCTACTTGGCAGAGACATTCTTAATTGCTTCAAATTCTGATATTCTAATGTCTAAAAATACATGTCCTTTTTCTATGTAAGTACTAGAAGTTGTTTCATTATGTATGCCTTAGTTTTGGATGATTTAGGTTATTTCAATCTTTCACAGTATTTCTGTTTTTCTAAGACACAAATTGACCTCTTAGCAGGAAAAGTCTGTACATTTCTCGATTACAGGATCCTCCCCAGCTCAGGGCTTGTCAATGTGTTTCTCTCACATCAATACTTCTCTGTCTTTCTCTCCCTGTCTTGTAAGAAGGATCTTGTCTGATCACCCCCTGGAGCTTGCACAGGATAAAATGGTGCAGGCAGCGGTTCTCCACCAACCGTTGCCGCCAACTCTCGCCCCGATGGCGGCTCCATGTGTGTTTCTTCTGTTCTGAAGTGGGTCTCTTGTAGACAGCATATAGTTGGGTCATGTTTTTGTTTCCATCCAACTACCCTATGTCTTTTGATTGGAGCATTTAATCCATTTAAATTTAGGGTTATAATTGAGAGGTACTTATTTATAGCCATTTTAATTCTGTATGGCTAGATTTTTCTGTTTCTTCTTCTCAGCAATCCCTTACAGCAGTCCCTTTAGCATTTCTTGTAATGCTGGCTTGGTGATGATGTACTCTTTTAGCCTTTTTTTGGTCTGGGAAGCTCTTTATTTGACCATCTATTTTGAATGATAGCCTTGCTGGATATAGTAATCTTGGTCTCAGATCCTTGCTTTTCATTACCTTGAGTACTTCATGCCATTCCCTTCGGGCCTGTAGAATTTCTGATGAGAAATCAGGTGTGAGCCTTATGGAAACTCCTTTGTAGTAACAGTTTGCTTTTCTCTTGCTGCCTTTAAGATTCTCTGTCTTTAATAATTAGCATTTTAATTATGATGTGTCCAGGTGTGTAACTGTTTGGGTTCTTCTTATTTGGGGTTCTCTGTGCCTCCTGAACTTGTGTGACTTTTTCCTTTACCAGGTTAGGGAAGTTTTCTGCCATTATTTTTTCAAACTCCTTCTCTATCCTTCCTCCCTTTCTGCCTCTTCAGGCACACCTGCTATTCTAATATTGTTATATTTTGCGGTGTCCCACAAGTGCCTTAAGCTGTCCTCCTGTTTTTTAATTGTTTTTTTCTTTTTGGTTCTCTGATATTTTCAACTCTGTCTTCTAATTCACTGATTCAATCCTCAGGTTCTCCTAATCTGCTATGTATTCCTTCTAATGTGTCTTTTACTTGTGTTATGTCATTCTTTATCTCAGACTGTTCTTTTTTCATAGTTAATATATATTTTTTTCATACTGTTGAGCATTTTTACCATCATTACTCTGAACTCTTGTTTTAGATAAATTTCTTATCTCTGCTTCATTTATCTCTTCTGGAGAATTTGCTATTTTTTTCATTTGGGGGTTGTTTCTTTGTCTCCTCATTTTGGTTGTCTGTTTGGGTTTGTGACTATGTTTTAGGTATATCCTCTACACCTCTCAATCTCTAGTGCAGGACAGTGTTAAAAGGCTGTTTCTGACTCACTGGATCAAGCAAATACTCAAAGCCTCCAGAGACAGGCTCTGTATACAGACTAAGGATTCCGACTTAAATTGCCCCCAGGCAATTGCCCTCAGTCTTAGGGAGAGTTTTTTTTTCAACAGGGTGGGACAGTTGCTTCTGCCTAGAAGCTAATTATTACTTTTAATCTCTTAAGTGGCCTCAGAGCAAGGTGTTTTCCAATAGGGTGTGTCAACTGTCTTCCCCCCAGGCAAGGCAGATGTCTATGTGGGAAAGATGTCCTCCGTTGTGTGAGGGAATAACTCGGCCAAGGAAACTTGGGGTGTCTGCCTTCTGAGCACTATAACCCAAGTCCCCAGTCCTGGATTCTGCTCTCACAGGTCCAGTCCACATCACACTCCTTCTGCCAGAGCACAAGGTGGGTGACTCCACAGTGAATTTTTGTGCATTGGCTCCTCAAGAGGGTGCCCAAACTTTCAGCTGCCACACCCTGGCAGATAGCACCCCACTGCTTTTCACAGCTAGACGTTATGTGGGTACCCTCCTCAGATTTGGTGCTCTCTGCTGGGGAACCCGGCTTGGGGATTAGATTACAGAGCTCTCAGTGCCCCACCCACCACAGCTGAGATATCTCTCTGGGACTTCAGTTGCCGCCTGTGGGTACCCAGCCAGCCCTTTCACGCCTCCACCCCTCCTATCAGTCTCTATGCGGTCTCCACCTTCGGTCCTTGGGTATCAGGGTTCTCTATTGTGAGTTTTCCACAATTATTCAGGCTTTCCTGATTATTCAGGAAGCCTTTCTGTATTTCAGTTGTAATTCCAGTTTGTTCCTGGGAGCATGTCTGTACAGCATCCACCTACTCTGCTGCCACTTATAATTCTTTACTCATTATCTTAATTCATCATTGATGTTTCTATCTCTTGCCCTCTCCCTCTCTGAAATCAATAAAATTTATTTAGGAGTCAAGATGGCGGCTGACAGGACGGCAGTGAGAGAGTGTGAGTAAGTGAGGGAGCGAAAGGGGAGTGTGTAGACATGTGTGATGTGTGTGTGTGTGAGTGTGTGTGTGTGTGTGTGAGTGAGGGACAGTTAGATCCTGCAGGACTTTTGAGGGCTGACGGAGAGGACCCTCTTAGACAAGGAGCCCCTGTTACTGCTGCAAGCACTTCCGGGCAGCCACCATTGCCATAGAAACCACACCATCTTGAAAGGGAGAGCTGCTGTGACTACAGCCCAGCCTCACCACCACCCAGACTGGCCTCAGACACCACCCGGGACCTTACAGCCACTCCGAAGAAAGGCCCGCCACCACAGATGTAGACCCACAGACATCGGGACTCTAGCTTCCTCGGCCACAGGCTCCTGTGAGTCTCAGAGTGCACAACCTTCCCCCCGACCTGCCACTGTGGCACAGGCCCTGCACATCCTGGCAACTGGGCTCTCCAGTGACTATTGAGGCACGCAATGCTCCTGCCGACCCACCACCGCTAACACAGGCCCCATGTGTCCCGGAGCCTGGGCTCTCTGGTGACTCTCAGGACACACACTCTCCCGCCAAGCCCTCCGCTTCAGTCACAGGCCCCACATGACACAGCGTCTGGACCCTTTGGTGATAGCAAAAATGGGGAGACAAAGAAAAACCCCAAAGAAAAGAAAAGGAGGAATCACCAGAAGAGGAACTAAAGAAAACAAAGGCATTCAATATGTCAGAAAAAGAATTCAGAGTAAAGGTCATACAGTTCATAAACCAAATGGATGAGAAAAATCAACAACTTATGTAAGAACCTAGAGGA